GGGCCCGGCTGCACCCCGAACCTGCTCGCCCCGGGGCGAGTCCCGCGGCCTCGGCCCCGCTGGGGGCTCTGCTCCCTGGGACGACCCCGCCGGCCTGTCCCCGAGCTCGGCCGAGCGCCCGGGCTGCACAGGCCAGGCCAGTGCCCGGCGCGAGTGGCAGCCCGGGGAGGAGAGGCGTCTCCGCTGGGTGCCTTCCCCGTGCCATGGGCCCGAGGCCCGGGCAGCCCCGGGCAGCGACACCTCGGCCCCCAGCACAGCCGCGACCGCGGTAGGAGGGGGTGCCCTCGGAGGTGCGGGGCCTCAGGGCCCTCCCCACCAGCCCGACACGTCCTGCCCCCCACACCTCGGGCGCGGCGGTCCGGTCACTTCACCCGTCTCCTGAGGAGTGGGGGGGCTTTGCTTCACCCTGGTCCCCTGCAGACACTAGGTGAGCTGCGGCAGGGGACGGTCAAGCCCCTTCCCGCAGAGCCCGAGGCAGGCTGCGGTCCCCAGTCCGGACGCCAGGAAGGGCCTGGGTCGGGGCGTGGGCACCCAGCGTGCCTACCTGGGCGCTCCTTTCCCCCTGGAGACCCGTTGCCCCGCCAGGTCCCGCCGCACCTGCTGGCACAGGGGAGCCAGGCGTTTCCGAGCGGGCCTGCGGCCACCTCCGCAGTCGCTCGGGACACGGCAGCCGAGCGCGCCGGCCGGGCAGGGTGGCCGTGGGGCGGGTAGAGAGAGGCGCGGGCCTAGGCCAGGGTCACCTGGTGCTGGGCTTGACCCGGGCAGGTGGCGGGGCCGGGGCTGTGTGCTGGGAGGACGGCGGGCTGGGGCAGAGCCGCTGGCCCAGCTGGCCTGCCCTCCGCGGTCTCCGGCGCCCAGTGGCCCGGCCGGAGGGCGCTGGGTCCTCCACCCCCCGGACTTCCCACGGGCGCAGCAGGACGGGCTGTCAAGTGTGGACCCCACCCACGGGAGAGCCCGGGCTGGCTCTCCAGAAAATCCCCCTGAACCGCACGACAGCCCGACTCCCAGGTGGGGGCTTCCACTCGGGGGTCCCCAAGACGCGATGTCACACATGAGGTGGTGGGAGTCTACGTGAGGCCGGTGCAGCCGTGGGCCCCCGCCCCGCGTTCTCTCTGCCCCGGCGGGGCGCGCCCCCTCCTCCTCTGCGCGCCTCTAAAGCCCCTTTGTCTGAGCGCGCGTGGGGAGGGGCTGCTCCGGCT